CCTAAATATGCTCCAGGAGGTAACACCATGTCTGGTAAAGCAGCACAGTCTCCAGTTCACATATGCACATCACCCCACAGTAGCAAACAACATTCCCACACCACAAGCCTCTCCAGCCCTAGGAAGCTGGACAGTTTTCTGCTCTTGCTCAGGTAACAAAGGCCAATCTCTGCAAAAGTCATTAAGGAAAACAGCAGGTGTTGAGAGTTTCTTATGCAAAACAAATCACACATGTTTTCCACTTTCTACTAAGTGTAGGGGGACTCACGTTGACCTCCCTTTGATTGTTGTAATTTGGGAACATAAGTAGTACTTAAATACTTGCTCATTGAAGATATATAGCAAATGTATGTTTACATATTTATGAGAAAAACTGCAAGTTTTCTGCTTTACTCATTTTTGCTTTAATCAGTGCCCTGACATTTAATCCCAGTGAAGCTGTGAGCTCTGCTTTCAGTGTTTTCGCTGGTAAATGTCACTCTGCCACAGTACTGCATTCACCGACTCTGAAGTAGCTTTTATCAGCAGTGGTGCCATGTGCCAGTGTTCTCAGTGTGCCAGACTGCTGGCTTAGCTTATTTTCTTTCAACAGCTGTGGAAAATATCTGAAATGTAAAAGCAAGAACTATTCAATTTTTATATGAAAATGATTAAAATTAAATTAGATTTATAGAGTAGCTAAAGATAAATTTTGTATTCTGATCCTCTATTTTTAAATCTCCATTAATATACAGCTTGATTAGTTTATTTTACAATTTAAAGTCTGGTTAGATTGAATTGGTAGAGGTTTTTAGTATGTACAACTTAGTTTACAGACCTAGCTGTGAACCCAGGGAGCTAGTGAGCCAATTCAGCAGTGAGATGGACATTTCTTTGCATTAGAGGTGCATGTAAGTGGTGTAGAGAGACCTGTAGCACTGGCTTCTGGAACAATCTCTTACCACTTGTTGGCAATAAAGTCAGATAGCCCAGTGACCAGGAAAGTCCTTTGGCAGTTGCAGTTCAAAGGTGATACAAAAATTGTCTTTGGCCCCTTCTTTCCCCCTTTCTGCTGCCTCCTTAAGGGAGGCTGAACCAAATAAACCAAAGATTTTTGAGACATATTCCATGCAACACAAATATTCTACAGGCAGCCTTGTAGCTAAAGTAAATAGATATTGGGAAACACCCTGAACAGCTGATTGACCTTGTAGAGGCCCTGGTCCCTTCTTGCCCAATAGGTGCCTGTCTCATCCCTACATACTAATTAATGATTGCCATTGGATTCACTGAGAGGTACTTGCATTCTGTTGGAGAGGAAAAACAAAATTTGGTCTTTTCAAGGTGTAAGACATCAATCATTCTCCAGAAGTTACTTTTGAATAGTTTTTTTAAGATTCTCTAGTAGGACAGGTCACCTTCTCTTACATATTTAAGGAAAGCTGTACATGATTCAGTTCCTTTCCACAATCAGCAAGTGTATACTGACAGGAGCTGAACAGCAGCATTTCTAGCTTACAGATTCTGCACTAGTTCCTCTTCTTTATGAGGTACATATTTGTTTTCTCAGAAGTTTCCCCTGTATCCCTTGAAGAGTGTATGATGTTGGATTCTGGGCAGAAGGAACACTGGTTTCCTTTCCTGCTGACAGTGTGAGAGGGAGTAAGTAGGACTGGTCAGACCAGATTTTTGGAGGGGAATTGCCACTGCAATTGCAACTACACCAGTTCTAGGTAGGACATGTCTCTAGACACGCACCGAAGGTTAACTGAAGGTTAATTTTTAATGTTCAGAAAGATTGATTACTAGTTCTGATTTACAGATCATGACCCCCAATTCAGATAGGGAGCAATTTGTCTGTGACCTTCAGCAGGTTTATACTAGAGTCTCTTTCAGGGGCCAGTTCCTAAATCTGAGCATTTTGGAATGGCAACATCTATAATCAGAGTATTTTATGAGCATTTGGCATACATAAATCCTATAAAGCCACATCTGCTTTGTCTTGTTTGAACTGATACGTGTGGAAGGGGAAAGAGCAGAGGACATGAGTTATGATCATATCATGGTTTTTTAGAGATGCCAAGTCCATAATTTTCCTGATCCTTTTTCCGGCATGCAAGTCCTTTTCCATGAATCAAAGGGCATTTGAGAAGCAGCCTACAAGTTGGTCAGTAGAAAGTATAAATTGAGTGAATTATATCAAAACCTGGATATAGGAGAGCTATTTTATGATTTTGATTATTGCTTTTCTGTTTTGCTCCTCAGCAAAATAACAGCATCTCAGTGTGGCCTTTAGAGCTACAGAGGTTCACAAATAGACCCATTTACTGTTATTTCATTACATGATCTTTTGTAAGTACACTTAGTTTGGAATTCATTGTGGCTTTTACCTCTGTGTGTGCATCTAGACAAAAGAATATCAAATACCAAAAGGACTGGAGGTGCTAGCCAAGTTTAATAAAGGGGGGAAGGAGGTTGAAGTGTATGGCACAATGGCTTGATAAAGACCATGGTTGTAATAATTCAGCTTTTTATAAAACCTGTTCTACAATTCTCATCTTATGGGCTGAGAAGAGTGTCAGGATGTCTACCTGACCTAAATCATATCCACAAGTGGTATTTTTTTTATGTCAGACTGTAGAAAGTAAGAAACCAATGTGAAACTCCTTGTTTAGACAACTGTATTGAGTTCTCAGATGGAGGCCAAAAGAGTGCAGAGCCTTTGCAGAAGGAGGAGAGGTGGAAGGGCAGGGATGCAGAATAGGTAGGGATGCAGAGGGAGATGAACCACAGAGAAAACCAGGGAAGAAAGGGTGGATGGGAGACATCTCAGAGGCTTGGGTTGAGTACAGAGAAATCTGGAAACTGATGACACTGAGGAAAGAACAGAGGAGAGAACAGTACTACAACAGAGAAAGAGCTTGAAGATGAGACAATATGTATACTCCAGGTAATTCTACTGAAGGAAAGAGAAAGTGTTCAGCAGTGGTGCCCATTTTTATCTGTTCACTTAAAGCTGAATTCTGAATATTAAATCAGTAGTTAGACTGTATATTCAACTCACAAAAATAAGTAGTAAATAATTTACTGGGACAGTTTTGGTGGTTCTTACGCATTTGTCTGAAATAGTCCAGCTTCTTTCTGCATCTGGTGGGTTTTGCCTGCAGACAGAGGAGAACACTCCACATTGTTTCCTATTCCTTTATTTACAGTACAGGAACAGATGTTGTTGCAAATAGAGATACCTAAACCTGCCTTAACTTACGTATCAGTAGCCATGTACCAGTATCACGATCAACATCCATGCAAATTAATCAAACTTGTCAAGAAATAGGGCAAAATGCATGGTTTAGTTCACAGGTATGGAAAAGTTTCTATGAAATGCTAAAAGGCAGTGTGTGTGGTTGGTTTATGTCCTTGCTCACCAAGCCAGATGTATAAAATACAGCTTGTTCATTCTCAGCAGATTGAAGAGTTTAAAGTCTCATGGATTTACTTGAAGTCAGGCTCAGCAGGAGGTTTGAAACCACAGTATATTACTCTGGTTTCAAAATAGCATGCAAAGTTGATGTGTTCAGCTTCTTTGCTTCTTAGCTATATAACTGCTTATAAAATCAGTGCACCACTGCACATTTCAAATACAGGAATGTGTGGACATTGATACCCTAAAATTCCAAGATTAAAACTATATACAGCATGTTGCTTGTAAGGGACTTTGAGAAAATGTCAGCAAGTCTTGCATGAATAAATAGTTCAATTCAATAGTTCAAGATCCACAATAAAATTTTGAAAATAGTATTACATTCTGTTAATTCTGATAAGAACAGCAGTATGGCCATCACATCCCCAAGTTAGACTTCTGGGGTTATGATAAAGGCAAAGTATAGGTGAGACAGTTTAGGACTCAGTAGCACTGAAGCTGTTACCCCTTTTAACTGAGGCAAGGTGTTGCCAGCCAGTGGGATCTTGCCCTGAAGCTGGGAAGGAAGCATTCTGAGATGATTGCTATAGCCCTGAAAGAGAAACTCAGTGTTTGTTTTTTTCTCCCCACCAGTATAATATCTTTCACAGGCTGGTGAACTTGGAACAAAAACAAAAAAAAAAAAATATGAGTTTATAGGATATAGAGCCATGATTTTATAAAAGAACTCTTTATTTCCATGTAACTCCAGCTGTGCAGAAAACTGCTGATTACATGGTAGTATTTAAGTTTAGTAAGAAATTCCTTGCCTGATATACCATTTTGATACCAAGCAGAGTGCCTAATATACCCTGGTTTAAACCTTTTACTTTTAAGCAATTTTTCAGTTGAACAATGTCTAAAATTAAAAGAGTACTTCCTTTTACTGTTAACATTTATAAGTGAATTTGAGATCCTCTGCTACAAGGATGTGATATGTTTTTATCAAAACACCTTCTTCTGTATGCTTGTAACTGTCTACTAATGTTATTAAAAATAAAAAATAAAATCCAGTCATGCTTATCAGCTAATAGATTCTCATGAAGGTCCTAATTCAATTCATCAGCACATTTTTGGTGAACTCTTAAGTGTTTTGCTGACTTAAGACAAAATTCAAGAGGTTTATAACTGGATCTCAGGTTTAGTAATCCTAATTAAACTTCTTTCAACTTATTAGGTGCATAGATTTCATGACTGATACAACACAAAGCTGTGACTGAATTTGGAAATTGTTGTAAGTTATATACCCAAGGAATTCTAAACTTTTCCTTCGTAGAAATTAACTGTGCCATATCAGAGCTCTTTTCCTCCTCCATGACACGCAAATAAATACTTTTTGGCAGCTACTTTGAAATAATGTCTTTTCTTTACCTCCCCGATTTTTTCATATTCACTTGCTTTTTCTGGGGGTGTTTTTGTGCCTTTTTTTTTGCTTAATATATTTGGAAATATGTTTTTTTTGTGTGTAAATGTAACATTGAATGAATATGAACCCTTTTAATTCTTTACTGTATGAAAAAAACTCATGGTTTACTTTTGTAATATGTTTCATCTCTTTTAGATATTGTGCAATGGACCAGGAACATGTGTTCCTGTCTGTATATCTGCTCTTCTTCTTGGCCTTCTAGGAATAAAGAGATCAATCATTGTATATGTAGAGAGCATCTGCCGTGTGGAAACTTTATCCCTCTCTGGAAAGATCCTTTACTACTTTTCAGATTATTTCATCGTTCAGTGGCCTGATCTAAAGGAAAAATATCCCAAGTCAGTATATCTTGGTCGAATCGTGTAACAACAGAAGACAAGCTTTACCTAAAATAAACTCTGCAAACTCCTCACTGAAGAATTGCATTCATGTAGCAAGTTATTTTCAAGAATTACCATTAAGAAATTAGGCTGGTACTAGAAAATGAGGCAATAATAAAGATATATCTACATTTAAGTAAAATTTTTGTGTAGTTGTATTTATTGCTGTCGTGTAGGTCTGTTTACCCCATAATGGCTTTTAAGTCGATGCTGTCTCTGTGTTCGTCTAGTTTTCCTGCTATGTGAATGGGAATTTTTGTCTACAAATAAATATGGGAATTTGTATGAATGTAACATTTCCTTTAAGGAAACTTTGTGTAGTTTTCTAAATTGTAAGCAACAAAGTCTTTTTCTAGCACAACAGACTTTATTTCCTGTATGCTAGCAGTGAAGTCCCTTGTGAATCCTTAGAGTATAAAGGAAACAGTTATATTAAGTTGGCTTCATGACAGTTTGTACTCTACAGTCTTCCAAACCCCCCAAAGCATTAAACCAGTGTCATTTTTCCTCTGGTCTTGTCAAAGCTGTCCTTATAATCTGTTGTGCACCTTTTGAAAATCGTTGCTCAGTTCTTAAGATAAATAAAAAGATGACAAGTGTCATGCTACAGGCACAATACTTACCAATTTAAGAAGTACTTTCTTCAAAGCTTATGTGCAAAAAGCTTTACCAAGTCTACATCAAAAAGAGCAAACTGTCAATTGGGAAAACAGGTTCAAGCTCTACAATATAGAAAAAATGTTACTATTAGTAATAAGGGAAGGAACAGAGTTTCCCTCTCTTTTCCTGATACAATGAATCTGACTTTCAGTATATCCTGTTTTCTAAATTTAAGCACCTTACTTTCAGCAGTACAAGTTCTTAAGCAGCAGCACATGCTCTTAAGACTTTGCCATGGAAAATGGTATTCTGTACACTGGAACAACTTTTAAAAGGTATTTCGTTGGAGCTAAGTATATGAAAACATCCTTTAGCATTTCACATTTATCTGGTGCAATGTAATCCTACACACTATCCCACCTATAAAGCAATATAAACACATCTGTCATCTGTACACACACAGAGCTATGTGGCTGGCTGCAGAAACACATACAAAGAAAACAGATCAAAGAAAAGTAGAAACACCCAGCAGAGTGCCCAGCCTGGCTCTGGTGAAGCCAACAGCAGCTCCTCGCGCTGCCACAGGAGGAGACTCGCTCTAGGAAGCCTTTTCCTCAGTGTCTGATACAAAACATTGCAGCAGCTATTCTGGGAGGGAATGGGGGGGTGGAATTCAGCTGAACAGAAGCAGTGGTTCCTGCTGTTAGGAAACAAGGGTCCAGAGAAATAGTCTGCTTTATGCAGAAAATCCTTAGAAATCATCAGAAAACATCATGCAAAAAACTACTGCCGGGATATTGCGAGGCCCCGTGGGGAAGGCAGTCATTATAACCTGTCCAACAGGCTTAATAATCCTCATCATAAGTAGAGTCCCTTGATGTGGTCACATGTGAGCTCAGAACAGGGAGTTTTTGTGGTTTTAACTGAGATTATGTCTGAAATTAAAGAGCAGTTAATAGGTTAAGGCTATGTGAGAAGGACTTTGTGCAGCACATACTGCGGTCCTTGAAAATTACTTGGCTGAAGTAAATCTGATGTGTGCAAGGGCTTTCTTTCTTCCCCTGAACTGGAGAGAGGACTATGTTATCGTGACTTTCTGCACAGTTACAGATGTTTGATAAATTGGAGATACGCTGGACTTTATTATGGCTAATGGTAGTTTATTTTAGATTAGTGCTTTCTGTGCTGAACCTTGCTTTGAATCTTGCTTTCTGTTTTGCAAGGGAACTAGAGTAGAGGGGAAGAGGACAGAGGCAGCCTCTTCCTCAGCTCTGGATAAGAGGCAACAGCATAGGATCAATGCCCAGAGGCTTAGAGAAGCATGAGAAGAGAAAGGCAATGAATGCTTCCATTCATGCACCACATCCCGTGCCTGAATAGCCCGCTGGCCAAATAGTAAGGCAGCCAAGGCTCAGACAGCACCGAGTTCACATGCTGCTTCTGCTTAGAGCAAAGCAGAAGGTAGCACATCCTTATCCTGCTCTGCATTTATACATCAGTGAAAGCATCTCTGACTGCTCAGTTACTCCCTTAGAGCCCTGCCCAGGGCAGGATTTTGGGATTTGGTGTGCTTTCAAACTGTGGGTTCATAAACTTTGTGCGTCTGCCTTTGAACACTGGGGAGTTCCAGGAATTTTCTTCCACCTGTCACCTGCATGGCAATGATAACTGCCAAAAGAAAGCCTGTTCAGACTTGTAACCTCCCATGTAAACACTCTGAAGGAAACATGGATTTCTTCACAAGAGGCTGTTCTGAAAAACTGAATTGCTCCAGGCCATCTGATACGGAGGAGTCTTATTTTCAAGGACTTGGGAAGACTTTTCCCCCTTTACTTCACTGCCAGCCTTTTTGGGGGGCAAAGTCAAGAGAATCTCTGCCTGTGTTCCCCAAACAGCATGTCTTTTACTCTGTTTGATCAGCCTTGGAGACACATGATAAAGTAGCGCATATGAAGTGATTTTCAATCCAGGTACTTGACTATGAGAGGGTGGGATGGTACCCATTCCCTTGTATTGCTATTTTCCTTACTGGCTAAAGTGTCTATTTGGGTTAAGAACATTTACTTTTTGGCAGTTTAGAATTAGCTCTAGCAAGAAACTTGGATTCAAAATGACCCAGAAGACTGTAAAGTGAAAGAGGTAGGACTGCTCTGGAGTGCTCAGAAACGAGAAGATTACAGTCTAACTCTGGCCAAAGCCTTCAACACAACACTGCATCTCAGCCATAGGGGACAGTACAGAGAAAAAGAGTTCTCAGCTTAAATTCTCTTGAAGGAAGTCTTCTTATCAGCTCCATTGACTTTTCCTTGAAAAGATTATCTCAAATAACTGCTAGTTCTCTCCAAAAGCACAGAGGAGCCGAAGTAAACTAGCATTTTGTTATTGAGTAGCTCTTTCTTATCTTTTGTTTTTAGTAGGTGCGTACAACCAAACAGTCAATTGTTCTAGGGGAAAACTGTATTCTTCCTGCTCCCAGCATGGAACAGAAGGCAGCCCTTCCAGGGTCTGTCCAAAGACTTAAAGGTCACTGACTGGATTCCTGAAGTTTAGATTCTTGGGTTTTGATGTGTCTCATTTTTTCTCTTGAATATTAACATTGTGGCAATCGCATTTGCACTATGTACATGAGGGGCATTTGGAGTGAAATACGTTACTTTTTTTTTTTCTCCATTTCCAAAAAAGGAAACCATAATATCTTACAGATTCAAACCAAAATGGAGAAGAAATATATTCTTACAGAAAACAAATATGACTTTATGGAAATACCATCATGAAAATTGGCAAAGATTCAAAACAGAACAGAAGGCATCCAGAAATTCTTTCCCCAAGTCCTATCCTGGAAGCCAAATTCTAAATGAGTTTTAGTTATCAAATTGTTTTATCTAGATATGCATTAATCGACAAATATTAAATATTCAGTTGTTTCTCTTTTGATCTGGTTCTCTTCTAATGGAGAGTATATAATGTATATTAGTATACATTAAAAAACAGGTTAATTTTTTTTTAGAAAAGAAGGAAGGAAAAGTAAATGAGGAGAATCAGTTAGATTGTAATAAAATAACTACGTAAGAAAAATGTTGACTCCTGATAAAAACAGCTTAAGAGATTATTTCCACATTAGACAAAAAGAAAGCTAAACAGACAGATCTAAAAGCTAAACAGACTGATCTAAAAGCTAAACAGACTGATCTAAAAGCTAAACAGACTGATCTGCTTTTAGCCAGTGATTCAAATTTCTTACAACTCAGCAGTGACCATTCCAATAAAGTTACGCTGTTCTGTAACATTTTGCAAGACATTAAGGATTTCTGGAGACGGTACTCAAAGCCCCAAAAACAACTTCCAGAGTTGTACTCCCACAATTCTTAACACACCTGTTTTGCATGTAAAAACACCCTGTCATAACATAGGACAGTTAATGCCTTGAAACAAAAGATTGCTGTATACAAATAGTACATAGAGCATTTTAGACATACAAATCACGCTTGTAAAGCAAAAAGATCCTCTTATATCTGTGCAAGGGGCCACAGAGTATACACAGATCTGGTGTGACCAACTTTTCCATCCTTTTCTCACCCTCAAATAAGCTTATCATTGTGCCTTAGCCAAAAACCCCAGGATTAGCTCGGTTGGTTAAAACCTAGTGCTAATAACACCAAGGTTGTGGGTTTGATCCCGTATAGGCCATTCACCAAAGGGTTGGACTCAACCATCCTGTGGGTCCCTTCCAACTCAGAATGTTCTGTGAAACTGCATCCAGGCAGCAGCCAGTTTCCCTGAGATATATAGGAGAGAAAGTATGCTGTCTACATGGAAGAGCATCTCAGGGAATGGCACTTGCACAAAAACCTTTTTTTAGTACCAAGTGGCACAATCCAATTGAACACATTTTAACCCTACAGTTCAGTCCTCAGCAAATAGCATGAAAGACTCGCTGTCACCATTTCTAGCAACTGGTCTCTTACACCTTAACGAAAATGAAGGGTTTTAACAGACCCTTGGTAGCTGCCTTCATGTTTGCTCCACATTCCATACACAGTACTTGTGTTTCTTTTCAAAGCATGTTTGTGTTGCCTTTCTCCCTCCTGATCACACCTGAAATCAAGTCAGCGTGGTGGGCTGTGGAGTCAGTGCAACAGATACAAGCTGCTGATCTGACAGTGCTTTTAGTTCTCTAAAGGAACTTCTCTCCCAACTGGAGGCACTGGACATGAATGCAAGCGTACAAGGACTGTAGCCATGGCAATCCCACTTTGCTTCTGGTAGTTGGTTTAGTAAAAGCCTGACACAGACTACTGTAGGTCATGCATGTCATAAATGTTGAGGCTTTAAAAGGTCACTTTTTAAAACTTGATTTAGGACTTACTGTGCAAATCAGAAACATGTCTTTGTCTACCACTGGCTGTTTTAAGAAGTACAGCAGGGATAAGCACTAAAATTCTCTTAATAAATATTTTCTATAACAGACTGCAATACCCCTTTTAACCTTGCATAGATCAGAGCAAATTGGATTCACACTGTCCCTGCAATGCATTTTACATGTCAACTTGGACACAGATAGAGTCTTCCCTTCCCTTCCAGTCAAGTAAGGGACATCAACAACCATGGTACATAAGAGCTCTGATCACTGGGGTATGTATCAGAGACTTACCAGCATTCGGAATAGATCATACAACACTTAATCTACATTTTCAGACTGACTTCAGGAAACTAGTTTGTATGAGTAATTATGAGCTGGTTGCTGACTTCAGTGTTTAAGAAAACTAGTCCCCCCAAAATATTAGTTTTTAATTTTCATTTCACAAAAAAATAGTCTTCCATTCATTAGTAATGCTATGTGAAAGAAGGACTGCTTACATGTGATGAACACACAAGAATCATTTAACTGAAGCTTATGTAATTAGTCACAGAGTAATGTGCTGGGAGGATCGTGTCTATGTTATGTGACAAA